ATTATGAGAGAAGTGATCTGGTGGCAGCAAGCATCTTCTTTGAACTAGCCAAGTATTTGTGGGCAGAAGCACTATGAGTCAACAAAATAATGTCCTTCAAAAGCTATGCAGAAAAAAGGCCCTCCAATACATGCTTACTCAGGAGTAAGTCCCCTGAATTCAATAGAACTTATTTCTGCGATAACATACAAAGGAATGTACTTTAAGCTGACCTTAGAAACCTTTTGCCACACAGCAGGGACCAGATCAACCACTAGAACAACAGCTCCAGTGCCATCTTTTGAGTGCAAGGTAATGCAGAGTAAGAAAAGCAGCAGTTTACTCTGCAGACACTTATAGGGACAAGACTATGCAACACAATATTGTGCTGGTCAATTAACTCTAAATCACTTTGAAGGAAAGAAACTGCTACATACGAGCAGTCTTACATACGAAAGAGACTTGTACAAACACACATCTGGTAGCTGTTACAATGTCCCATAGGACCACAACAGCCCCGACTATTGCCTTTCTCTATTCAGATTAATTTATGAGCCCTGTTTGATTGTTTGTTTATCTGAGTGGGCTGAGTCCCTTTTACAGGGAAAGTGTCTGGATCTCTTTCAGAGACCTGAAGAAAATAGTTTTGAACCTTGATAGTAGCGCAAATTACTTTTAACAGGTTAAGTTATATTTATTGAGGAGTGAATTAATTGGTTGTGTGCTGATTATTTCCTTGGGGTTTTTCCCCCTCATTATATGGGGATTTTAAATTCTTCGTTTCCACATACAATCTGTCAAAACAGCTGCAATACTTCAACTTAACTATAGTTTTATATAGTATATCCATAGAGTTTAAATCATCTGGCCAGAACCTATTCCAAAGATAAATGGGATCCAACTTTGCGGAAAGTCTTGATGGAGTTCATTCTTCCCTCCAGCAGCAATTTAGAACTTGTTCTTGTATTCATTGCCATGGCAGTCCAAATCATTGTTTCCCCATTATGCCAGAGATGGTATTATATCGATCAGCAAGCTTTTGCTAAAAGGATCCTTGCAGCTATTAACACAATATCACTTCCACATTTCTAGGAATCCTATCTTTAATATCACCTAGCAATATAGTTGTTGGGGTTAGTGGCAACTCATAGCCTGCAATTTCTCCAATGCTGTTCATTATCATCCATTTTTCCATAACAGAATTACAAAGCTACAATATAGGAGCAAAAGTCCTCTAAGTGTCTGTTACTGCTCAGTACATCCTAGAGTTCCTGGTTGCTATTCAGTACTACATATATAATGTGTTACGAAAAGGTTTGATTTTATAGTATGATTTAATCAAGAGAGCCAGTGCGGTGTATTGATTAAGAGTGCTGAACTAGGAATCAAGAGATCTGGATTCTAGCTCCCACTCAGGCACAGAACTCAGAGTGACTCTGGGCCAGTCACAGATGCTCAGCCCAACCCTACCTCACAGGGTTGTTGTTGTGAGGATAGTTTTGAGAGGAAGAGAATTGTGTAAGCTACCTTGAGTTCCTTGGAAGGAAAAAAGGGAAGATATAATAAACAAGATGCTTGGCAGTAGTGGAAATGATGTTGCACTGGAAGAAAGGAAGTTGTAAACTAGACACAAGAGAGGAATCCACCTAAAGTTAGATTTGTGCAAGAATGGTAGCATAAGCACTGTTGCTGGTGATTGTGCAATGAAAAGATCCCACAGTTCAAGTAGCACTACTTCAGTTTACAAAATGTTACTAGATACTGACCACTCCCTTTAATCTGTTTTCGGTATTGTGAGTTACTTTGGATGGAAAGGCAGGCTGCAAATAGATAAAACACAGCTAATAATTAAGTACGTGCTACATTGCTCTGCTTGGACACAATCAAGGAACTTGAACTTAAGGACAGGCACAAGTTCCATGAGATAACCTACAAGAGCAAGTTCCACAAATCAATATTGTGCATTTTCAAGCTACTGTAAGCTGTACACCAGCACAAACTTTTGATTGGGAAATCAAGGCTTTCACATCGAACAATCAATTTTAACTTAATTGCATGACACATTTTTGCAGGTGGAAGCTTTATACAAAATATCTGCCCTTCTCACATTGCAAAAAAGGACTCTCTATTCAGTTCTCTTTAAAGTCTCTTTAATGTTTTAAAAGAATCCACATAAGTAGTCCCTCCCTACAGCTGATCAATCTTAATTAATTTCAAGAGGCCACAGATGGTAAAATGATACTTTCAAACAGCTCCCTGAGGAATCCCATTTTCAACTGCTCATTAAAAAATAAAAGAAAAAGAAAGACAAGGAATTATACATCTTCCCAGAATTTTTTCTATGCTTGCAGAAAATCTAAATGTTGAATTATAAAACAGTTCTTCTGCAAACAGGAGCCCAGTCCCTTAGGTAAGTCCTGCATCTCCAATGCAGTGCAAACAATATTTGCATGTTTGGTTGGATGCATTCTTTGATTTGTTCCAGGGGAGAAATGCAAATGTAGCCAGGCTTGCCACAGTTTAAAATATACACAGATAAGGAAGGCTTTGAAATATATAACACGTAAGACTCAAGGGGGGTGGTGGGGGGTAATGAATTAAATAGGGTATACCTTGAAGATTTTGCTGACAGAGATAAGATTTAATTTTTTTGTATGGAAAAAATTGTTCTCAGCATCTAAGAACCATAAAGGTAGAAATTAAATTTTGTACGTTTCAAAATGAACTTTATGTTGCAGGATCCAAGCATGAGGCAAAAGCTGTGGAATCTTACAGAGAATGTGTTTGGTCTATGTGGGATGTTGTGCAGGCTTGCTGGGTCTCATTGCCATAATTCAGCAGAGAGTATGAGCCTTGTTCTGTCACTACCTACTCAGAACTAAGTCCCATCAAGTTCAGTGGGGCTTACTCACCAATACAGGATTGCAGCTTAAGCATGAGTTTTGCCTTGAGCTTCAGTGAAGGGAGAGCATTTAGACTGAATAAGGAGGGCTAAAGAACATCTTTTTTCAAATTTAAACCAAGAAAGTAGCACCTAATTATTAAAATATAATTAATTCCTGATCAGCATACATTAGCTCTTCAGGAGAAAGATATGGAATAGCCACTGTGGCAGGTAGAGAATGTATGAGTTACATTTACAATGAACTCAATGAACAGTACAATTATTAGTACAAGGGGAAGAAGGGGGAACACAGTTGGTAGCAGAGTGAGCTCTTATAAGCAGGTGTTAAAATCAGGTCTCAAAGTAAGTTTGGTTGGGCTTTCTCCTAGTAGTTGGAGCAACTCCCTTATGAGGAAAAAGTACAACAGAGAGGATAGTTAAGCATAGCGACAGGATAAGTAAGGGATGCATGATGGCGATGTTCAGAATCATGCATGGTGTGTTGTGGGAGACATTTTTTTTCTTTCTCCCATAGTACTACATATGGTGACATCCTATAAAGCTAAGTGGTGGGACACTCAGGACAGATAACCCAAAGTACTCCCACATATAAAATGTGGAACTGGCTATCACAGGAAGTAGTGCTGGTCACCAATTTGGACACCTTTAAAAGGGGATTGGATAAGTCCTTGGAAGAGAAGGCTATCATGGCTGCCAGTCTTGATGGCTGTGTACTGTCTTTGAGGCTGCATGCTTGCATGCACCAGCTGGTGGGAAGCTTGGGCAGGAGGGGGCTGTTGTACTTATCCTTCTTGACAGATCCTGTGTGCAGCTGGCTTGCCACCATATGAACAGAATGTCAGACTAGATGGACCATTAGTCTGATCCAGAATGTCTTTTCTTATCGTTGTACGTACAGAATTGCAGCCTTAGGCAATGCTGCAAGCAACATCTGTTTCTCATCACTAGGTTACTACTAATAGTATTTCCTGAATGTTTACATTAGGAAATATTCATGTAATGTGCTCTCCCCCCACCATGCAGATATCATATATGATATGAGGAATGCTACAACCTTGGTGACTTTTCCCATGTTACTTAAGCAGCAAGAGAACTACGCAGTGCAATCCCTCTCCACATTGCAAAGGTAACATCAGAGGCTCCAGCTCACATCAGAAAAGCACATGGTGGCAGTGCCTTTCCCAGGCACTGAGCAATGATGAAAAATTGGGAGCCTGTGCTGTGGCACTGCTAAGATGGCACCATGCTTCTGCTGTTACCTTCTTGTCATCCCAGTCCACAACATAGGAAAGAGCCACACTATAATGGTCCCAGGTGACAGACAGAGAGAGAGTTAGAAAGGAGCACACAGCATCTAAGGTGTCATTCCATGTAACTTGTGAGCTAGCTCTTATAAAACACATAACACTCACTGAGGCTTTTAACGAAACACACGAAACTGCCATTTTGAAATGGTAGTAGCAGCCTTTATAGGAGAGAGCAGCATAGGATGCTGTCATCAACATGCTACTTACTGGAAAACAACAACAAAACAACCAGAAAGCGGAGGGGTTTTTTATTGTCGTTGCTGCTAAAATGAGGGTCTATTCAAAGCACACAAACTTGTCGGTGATGGGCGTCTTATCATTTTTGAAATGCTCAAAAGGATGTGCAGCCCATGCTTGCCAGCCCTTTTGTTCCTAGTGGAAAGAAAGGACACTGCATGTCGCCTTAACAGTGCATATGCTTTCTAAATATAAGCAGGTCGTCCTCATCAGCGTCTTTGCTTTTCCTTCCTCAAATATTTCAAACTACGGATATCAGCCTAATATTGTGAACTCTGTGGCAATGTGTTATAATCGAAACGATCGTCGTTTTATAATCTTAACCGCCGCGTAATTCATTCCTATAAAATATATGCAAGGCCTGTCTGAAATAATTCTGCTTAAAAACAAACAAACAAACAAACCTAGAGATGCCAGTTAAATGATGCGAGAAAAACGGGTTTCATTGAACGCCATTGTGAGTCTGTCAGGTTGCAATAAGACTACAGTTCCCAGAATGCAAAGCGGATAAAGTCCTTACCATGTGATTGTAGTTCGTCTTCCCTAATGGTGGCTTGTAGCTTATCACATGACAGGGAAAATATGGCTGCGATGGATGAGGTTCAGTTTTCGGCGCTGCAGATCTTATTGAAAGTACGTATGTTTATTTTAATTTTGGGATGATAGTATTTCCTGCGAAATCTCTCAGTTCAATGCCCTTTGGACTAAAAGGAGGTACTGAAAAGCGCCTTTTTCTCATGGCAGACCTAATTTCCAAGTGCTATAGAGTTTTGATGTCGTTTACCTCTACTATAACCTCATCAGTTAAGTCGGATAGGGATATTCATGTCCAAGAGAAAAAGCTTTGTTTATTTAAAGCACTTCTGTTCAACTTTTCAAATGAAAGAACTGCTAAAGAGGTTTGCAGAGCCTTTAAAAACCATCGCTATTCATGTATGCCATCTAGAATAATACAAAAGAAAAAACGGATGGGGAGGGAAAAGGAAAAGCAGTCAGACGGAGGCCTCTGTTCTTAAAGTTACAGTTCAGTTGACTGTAGAACCAGAACTGGAGCCAAGATCTTAAATCACAGGGAAGTCCAAACTATAGCATAAGATTATTGTTCACTTAAAAACAAATCTGTATCTGAGTAGAAGTATATATTTTCAAGTAACTTATTTAAATGGATGTTGACATATTATGCTTTAGATGTTTAGTAGCAACATGCATTTTCACTCTTAAAAATAAGTTCTCGTATTAAATATAATTTACCACTAGATCTGTTTGAATAAGGTTAAAAACTTAAATCACTTGCCATGTGTGAACCTTTGGAATGGACTTCCTAAAGAGGTCCAACTGGTGCCATCACTACTTTCATTTCGGCTCCAGGCAAAAGCTGCCCTCTTTTGGAGGTATTTTGAGACCTGATTTTAACATCTGATTATAAGAGTTCACTCTGTTACCAACTGGGTTTCCTCCTCTTCCTTTTGTACTTATAATTTTTATGTACTGTTGGCCTGTTTTTTTAATGCTCTTAGCCACCTAGATAGCCCTGTCGGGTTCTTCAGCTGCCTATAAAGTTGAAAAATAACTAAATGTATTCAAAGAAAACAACTGTAGATACTATATCATAGCTGTCTGGGTGGTCCCCAGATGTGTTGGACCACAACTCTTCATGCTGACTGAGAATAATGGGAGCTGTGGCCCAATACATCTGGTGACCAGCAAGCAGAGGAAGGCTGCTCTAGCAGGGCCTGACATTATGTTTTCCTTTCTTTTTTTCTCTTTTACGTAGAAGTGCATTTTCTCTGCAGATTAGAATAATAAGGTACTAGAGTTGGAAGGAGCCAGCAAGGCTGCTTCATCCAACCCCAGCTCAATGCAAGATTCCAAGTTAAAGCATATTTAAGTATCATAGTTAGCTGCAGTGTTACAGATTATTTCCCATGAATTAACATACACTACATCTAAGCTGGTGGCAATTGCTGTTATGTTTCAGAAATGACCACTGCTTGTTTTTCTTTGCTAGGCTTCATCCAAAGATGTTGTCCGGCAGTTATGCCAAGAGTGCTATTGTAGTTCAGCGAGTGGCTCAGACAAATTGATGGAGAGCACCTGTGCCAGTCTCTCAGTTGCACCAAATGAAGCAAATCAGGTAAGAAGCTGATGGGCACTTCTGATCTAAGCTGCAGTCCTATATGCACATTCCCTGCAAGTTTTACCATTGAATTCAGTGGAACATGTGAATAGATGTGCATAAGATTGTTAGTCGTGTGTGTGTGTGTTATTCCTTATTTCAGCAGATGCTGCTGAAGGACATCTAGGCAAGTTCTGAACCATGAGCTTCAGCCTGTAGGCCATAACTTGAGCCAAGGGGAATCCCAGTCTAGCTTACTGGGGTTTTGCAGGTGGTCATGCCATCTTTCCTTGACTTCACCCCCTTTCTGTTAAATGCTTGGTGGCTTCCCAGCCTTTGCCTTTTTTCATGCTGAAATGTTGACATGCTTCTCCTAAGGCTTAGTTCCCGGCAAGGACAAAATGTAAGTTAAAATACGTAGGCTCTGCCCCTTTGGCCTTTGGCTTTGCCTTGTGTTGCTTTCAGCTCTACCTTCCTCTTGACTGCCTCCCCACCCCAAAACCACCTTCAGAATTGAATTTACCCCGTGCACTGAATGAGGTCAACATACCTAGTCTAAGGAATAAGCAGTGGGATCTAAGGAAAAACTAGCATTGAGCCCTGACTTTATGAACAAAGGGCAGAGAGAATCTTCAAAGGTGGAAAACTGGGGCCAGATTGGGAATGAGTTGACACGGATCATGCAGGACAGTGCCTGTATAACTTTATTTTTTGGGGAGAGAGGGGAGAAGCCACCAAGGCAGCTTCAGCTACAGGCAGTATAGAAATGAAATAAATGATTTTTAGAAAATAGGAGAAAGATTGGGATGTTTTCTTGTCATTGTGATTGAAAGTAACATGAAACCTAAACTTTTTCTATCATTTTTTCCTTACAGTTAATCCATTCTTTGCACAGCCTAACAAGGCATGTGGTTTACCATGGCCTGACATCTCCAGAAGAAATTATTTCCCTCTTTCCGGAAGGATTTCACCAGAACCTTAAAAATCTCCTGACCAAGATAATTTTGGAAAATGTGTAAGTGACAGCTTTCTGGGATTGGACAAAGAACAAACAACGATTGGATGTCATGTCAAACCATGGTTAAAGAAGCTTAACTTGAGCATGACATGATGTCTGAATGACAAATTATTGCTACTTCATTAAGAGAGGATAAAGGTAAAGGTTCCCCCTTGACATTAAGTCCAGTCATGCCTGACTCTAGGGGGCGGTGCTCATCTCCGTTTCCTAGCCAAGGGAGCCAGCGTTTGTCCACAGACAGTCTCCGTGGTCATGTGGCCGGCATGACTAAACACCAAAGTGCACGGAACGCTGTTACCTGCCCACCGAAGTGGTACCTTTTTATCTACTTGCATTTGCATGCTTTCGAACTGCAAGGTTGGCAGGAGCTGGCTCCCT